TACTTAAATTTATACAATATTATTTATTTGTAGGACAGAGTAGTTATTTTAGCTACAGTTTTACTTTCATATTCAATTTTTGCCTTCCGTACTGAAACCAATGAATTTAGAATTTCATATAAAATCTTTATTTTTCCATAATTTTAAATACATTAATTAAGATATTTTAAATAATTACAGTAGTCATCCCATCGAATAAATATCAAATTTAACGAATGTTAAGTATAACTAATATAAGATTTAACGAATGACAAAGTTATATATCTTTGATTATACTACTTAATGAATTATGTATTATATATATTAGTTATATTATGATCTCAATCTTTATTTAGTTAGCAACATATTCATTATTCTTCGTTTCAGAACTAAAAAATTCGCAAAAGAGGGGAATGATATTCTATCTACATTAAGTAGATAATTTAGAGATAACAAAACAGGTACAATTTATAGCAAAAACTGAGATTCAAGAATAAAAAGTAATGACAAAGGCGTTAAAAATTTTTTTGAAGGGCGATAAAGTGACAAAAACAAGATATTCAGGATTCCTTTAATAAAAAAAAAAACATATCAATCATAATACATGCTTGGCATATTAAAGTTTTTCACGAACCAGCCTATTGGACGCTAATATATACTACTTATGATAAGGAACTTTTTTTTTAATATATCACTCATAAAATTATTCTCTTGTCCAGTAAAAGTACATATAATATGAGTGTATATTTTAAATATCTTATCAAAATATTCAACAAAAGTTGAATATAGAAGAACTGGCATCAATAGTAATAACTGGGTTAGAAAGAAAAATTCTGCTTTTTTTATTTAATTCAGATTAAAACACTAGGTTAATTTCCATACCCCACCCAAGCTTCACTCTTTATATCTTTTACATATTCCTTCAATCTCGCCACGTTTGTCTAAGTGTTTCTTTTAAAATCTATTTATGATTCCGCTTTCAATGAGAACTTATGTCAGTTACAACAAACCTACTGCTATGTTCTCTGTATTAACATAAAAGTTTATAGCTAAATAGACTTTGGCAGATGACAACTTCTGTCAAATCTCAAGATCGCTATTGTCTAGAGTGGTCAAGAAACGTACCAATCAGCTGCTTAAACTAAACCGTAACCTGTTGAACACACTACGGTATCTGTGCTGATAGGTTATGGCGTACTAAGAAGTTATGCTATAAGATTGGGTTTACCTTATAATGAGTTTTGTCAGGGTAACAGCGGATAAGAAGAAAACTGTACATTAATTCATGTATTAATATCCATCATTGGTTTGGAGTTTTTTAAAATCGTTGGGTGTCCTTTACTTATCGACCTGACTGAGCTGTCATCTTCCAAAATAAGGGACTTGTCCAAGTTTATAGACTTGTTACGTCCACTCAATTAAATGATTAAATGAGAGAGATTCAATTAAATGAGAGAGAATGATGTCTTTTAGCGTTGTTTTATTACTGAGTCCTTATGTTTTGCGTATCAACAACGGTAATCCGTGGTATCACAACGGCTCATAATTTCAGCTCAGGTAGTCTTTGTGCACATGATTATCGTCACTTCAGAAAGTTGTATATTAGACAAATTCGTATATTTCAAGTGCTGTTAACAGTGTGACTATTTCTTTGTAAAGTTTGTTACCAAAATGGTTTTTCATCGGTATGGTTTCTAAGCATAATTATAGTTATATGTATTTCTGTTTTATTTCGAACTTTGATTAAAGATGTTTTGCAATATGATAAAAATTACGAAAACATAGTAGAGATAGTTGATATTAATATAAGCAAGTGGAAAATATTTATTTAATCTATAAATGTAAATTTAATGACAAAAAATGTTATTCAGTATTTAATATTTTATATCAAATTCCAACAATTAAAGAAAAGACAAGAGATTAAATATTTGCTTAACCCAAAAATGTCTATCAGCTTGCGGGTTTATTTTTATTTAATTTCTAACCTACGCAAATTGTCAAAATAAAATTTTAATAATAAAATTAAAAAAATATGAAACAAAAAAGAAAAAAACGTTATTAGAAATAAATTTGAAGATATTTTCAAATTTAAATTAAAAACAAAAAAAAATGTTTACAATTTAACGATTTCAAAGGTGCAAAATATCTAGATACCTACGCGTTGCGTTGTATATTTGAACTTTAAGAAATTTTAGTTATCAGTTAGAAAAAAAAAACGCTTTAAGCACAGAACTTTCGAAAACCATTTCGTATCGTAAAAATGTGAACACATTTAGAATAATTGGAGCAGCAGACATTGCTTCGTTCAAACAAGATACAAAGGTTTTTATAGTACGAATAGTTGAGATACACAGAGCGGGTGGCGGCAATTTCTCTTCAAAAGCAAAGGAAATAAAAACTAGGCAACTTTGTTGTTGTGTACAAGACATAACATAACAAGAAAAAAAAATTGAACAGAAAAAAAAAACAACAACATATTATTTACAAAAAAATAAAAGAGTGCGTGGCTGCGTGTTTATTTGTTGGTTATGTACAAGCGCAACAGAAACAGGGGAACTGGGGTACACACAAAACTGTAGGTATACGTGCAGATAGTCAGTCAGTCAGTGTTAAATCCTAACGTGTTGTACGTACTGCTTTGAATTTATTAATATGTGCGCTTGTATCTTCCTTCGCTATGTAACACACAGTCAAAGACGACAGTACATAAAGCAATGACGAAAAAGTATCTGGCGTCAATATGGTTACTTTTTACACTTTACGGATATTTTAGACCTGAAAAGTGTATCTTGTAAGTATAAAAAAAAAAAAAAAGAAATTGGAGGAGTTTCCGTGCTAAAGAAATGGATGCTCCCTTTTGCATTTGAAATGAAATATTTTCTGTTTACTCTTGACATTTGCGATATGACCATTAAATACTGAAGAAATCTACTACGACGCAATTTTGGTATTCAATCAACTCCATCCAGAAAGCAACATACAAACAACCTTGCGATTCACCAACACTTGAACGAAGACGCCGATGACGACGGCAACGCCAAACGCCACTGTTGCGCAGCTTTTGTTTATATATAAAGTATCTTTTATTTATTTTGCAAAGTATACAAACATTTCAGTGCAAGTTTAAATATATATCGTGAATACAATAAAAAAAAAGAAAAAAACCAAAAAGAACGGACAACATTAGTGTAAAAATATATAATCAAGTATATACACAGTTATATTTTACGTGTATATTTATATATATATACACATATAGATATATATATAACGTTATCTCAAAGAAAAGATATTAGAAGAGCGGCAGGCAATGCGACTGCAAATATTGTAATAAGATACAAGTTACAAGTATCTATGTTCTGAAGAAAAGGAAGAAGCAATAGGGTACACTTACATAATATAAATTCGGTATATCGGAAAAATAAATAAATCAATAGTAGGAATGGCGCAGTTTCCAGAAAATAAAATGCAGCAGCAGGTTGTAAAATAATGTGCGAGATTGAAAGTTCAAAAAAATATATATTAGATCTTTTTTCATTGCAAGAAGTCTTAAATATCTCTGATGCTTATATTCGAGATAAGAGGATTAAAAAAAGATAAATGTAGTTCACAAAAATTTCTGTATGTTATGAATGTAGGAATATTTTCAATATTATAAATATATTACAAAGAATCCCCAAGTTTATTCACACATTCCTCAATTTAGCTTTCAATATATATAATACACACAATAGGTAATGTGCTAACTAACAGCATTTAAAAATTGAGAAATATAATTGAATAAAAATTAAATATAGAAATCTCTGTATCAATTTTTTAAATGACTGAAAAGCCAGATTTATACATCTACAGATATAGGCCGTGTGCGAGTTCTAGTAAATTGAGGGAAATAGTAAATTATGTCGCTATGACAGCAATGTTGGTATTTAACAGAATTTCGAGTAGGGTAAATTAGATAAAAATTAGGTGTTACCATTGTGAAAATTTTATAAGATGTTTAATAAATAAATAAATAAATTTGATAGTTTTGAATCAAAAATAATAAATAAGTGCAATAAATAAATATTTACATAAGTGCAGTGCAAAAAATCCCTAGGAAATTTCAATTTACTTTACCTAACTTTACTCGAACTCGCACACGGCTATAGTTTGGAATTTTTCTTTTTTTAAAAGCTAAGTAAGTTTTTTTCATTTACAGAGAATTATATATGCATTATATTTATTATAATTAGAATTATTATAATCGATAATAATATAAATTGGAAAGATTATTAAATTGAATAAATTCCACTTAAAATAAAAAATGTTAAACATGGTTTTAATACAAAAAATTATGATTATATATATATATATTAATTAATTATAATTATAATATATATAATAATTGAAACTATTTATAATTGCTGATTTCAAAATAAATCATTCATAATTATTAGGTTAATTTGCTGTCTGATAAGAGACACAAACTTTTATTTCAACATAAATGGGGAAGTCCGTGTTTTTTTATATTTACTTCGAAGTATATCATTTGATTACACGTTTACAGTGTGCGGTTGTGAATTGAAAAACATTAATTAATCACAATATATAATCAATTTCAATTTTTTTGTTATATATTGAAATTTCATAAAATAAAAATTCCAAGATTAACGAAATTTTATTTCTTAAGAAATTGCAAATTTTAAGGCAAAAACAAAAACTTTATGGTAAGAAATCGTATTAAATATAAATACATAACGATCCCCTCCCTTCCTACCTTCCTGACTATAAATCTTATTGGGTGGAGTTTTACTTCCTTTCGTTTTGTTATGAGATTTGTGAATTGACAGCGGCTAAGCGGTAAGATTCTAATTGGAATTTTGCGCAATGTAAAAAAAATCTAAGCAGTTTTGGAGTAAAACAGATATTTAATTTTTTCTTTTTTTATAAATTTTTATAAAACAGTTTAAATACAAAAAAAAGCTTTATAAAATATATTAAAATAAGAAAAAAAAAAAATTTTAAAAATTTATAAAACGCACCTTTGTTGGAATTATTTTTGAATAATTTTGTCCTCTCTTTTGTAGTTTTATTGTATCATTTTTGTTGTTTTTATCACACACACTTTCTTCTGCTTTTTAAATATATTTCTTATGTGGAATTTTATATTATTAGGAATTTGTTTTGTTTAAAACTTTTTTTCACACAGTCTATAATTTTTTCTTTGAAGCGACTCTTTATGTGACGTCAGCAAGATAAAAATAACGACCGGAATAAAAATATTACTTTGCTTCTTCTTCCTCTACTTTTTTTGACGTTGGCGGCGGCGGTCTTTGACAAAATTTGCGTTTTCCTTTTAGCTGAATGCCATCATAATCAATTGTGGATACATAAAACTTGTTATAATTTTTTCAACAGTGGAAGGCGTGAAATTGTTTATTTGGCACATACCAATATTTAGTAAATTTCGCCAAATTAAGTTCATTAAATGATTGAATATATAAATTTTATGTAAATATTAAATTAAATGAACAAACGAACGAGTGAGCAGAGCAGCAACTATTTTAGTATATCACAGCTAATAACGACTTAAACGATTAATAAAAATGACATGCGAACATATCACTGCTTTTGTCAACAAAAAATTGCCAATGCAAGAAGGCTGACCTCCATTGCAGCGATAACGCTGCTGCTGTTTTGTATTGCGTCGCTGTTCGGCGCCATTTTTGAGCCAATATAAAATCAACGATCTATTCTGCTGTTTTAATATCGACAATATACATATATATATGAATGTACATATGATTATATTGTTGATTATGTGTAGTTAGTTAAGCTTCTTGCGTACGAAAACAGAATGGCGATTTATAATGTTGTGTGGCGTTTTTGCGAATGCGGAAAATTTTGTTTCACTTGATACTTAACACGAGTAATGACTGTAGTTTAGCCTTCGTTTCTAATCGTGTTTTATCCCGTTGTTTCTTTTTACATTTTTTTTTTCTATCCTACTTCAATTGCCGGCTAATATAGCTTTGTTTACTTTTTTATGTGTATTTAGTTAAAAGAAAAGTTAATTAAATTTGTACTAAATGCAAATATATTAATGTTTGTAATAATTACAAAATAAGTGTGTGAGTGACGGTGTCTCTAATAAAAACAAAGACCGCCACCAAGCAACGACACGACCAACAACGAAAGAGACATGCGACACACTGAACGCAATAGAAACAAAATAATTCACAGAACTTATGAGCAATAAAAAATAAATATAAAGAGAGTGGGAATTCGGTATTGCCATATTAAAAATTTTAAATGTGGAATCCAATTGATTTTGAATTTTTGTCACAGTTTAAATTTTCAGTTGCGCTTCTGTCAATAATTTGTAACTAAATAAGAAATTGCATTACAGATATTGTTAAAAATATAATATATATAAAATATAATTAGAATAATTAATTATATTTATAAATAATTAAAAGTCTATAAAAGTAAAGAATTAGATATATTTTACCTGAAATTGATTCATATATATTTGTGTTTAATTTTTAGGTTATTACAAAATTGAAAGATTAATAATTAAATATAATATTAATAATGAACACATATATATTTATAAAATTATTCTTTATAAGAAGGATTAAATCATATCTAATTATATAGAAAAAATAACATTAAAAAAATTTTATAGTTGAACCAATTTTAAATTGAGTTATGTTTAATTTTGATTAATTGGAGTTTAATATTTTGATTTACATTTTTCAGTTTGGAATATTATTGAGAGACCTACGTAACGTTTTTAAAACGATTTTTGTATTTTACTAAATAGAATAATATATTAGTAAAAGGTCTAGTCAATGAGTATATACCTAAATAGTGTAGTTTTTAGCAGAATGGACAGATAAAATTAATTTACTTACAACATGCATATATGTTATAGCATTTAGTAATTAAACTGGTATGAGTTGTCTTATGCACAATATAAAAATTAAAAAAAATTAAAAAATTAAACTTATTTTTGAAAATTTAGCATTTTTATTAAGAAATTTCTAATTGCTCATTTGCAGTGGATGAAATTACAATAGCATATATTATCTTATTGAAGGAAAACACAAGATATCTGTGGAAATTTACTTCAGGAAGAGCTTATGGACTTAAAATGAAAAAGTTTAGAAGTAATGTTTTCGATATTTTTTGATAAAAGATTGATCACATTATCAGTCCAAATGTAACATTCTAGCAAAATGAAGTTAAAGCAAATTTATCATTTTTTGCTGAAATGACTATAAAAAACCTGTTTGGAATAAACAGCAACAATGAAAGTATCAATCTAAATAGATTTTCACAAGCAATAAGGCTGATCTAAAACTACTTTTTCGAATCACTACTTTTTCGAAAAAATAATACTTTTGTATTGTATTATAAAATAACATTTTTCGATTTTTTAAAATAAACCAATAAAACATATTTTTAGAGGAATTTTATGCTAAGAGAATTACCAATATTTTATATTTATTGGTTGCTACATTAACTGTACATGCCAAAAACCTTCAAATGAAATTATGTCCAAACCGTCACATTTACTTCCTTAGTACTCGTTTAATGAGTTTTAATGAAGGATACTAATTTCGGAACGCGTATCAATAAAATTGTATTGTTCTTGGAAATGAAACATGTTTTCTAAAAATATTGTTTCGAAAAAAAGAGGCTTATTTTGTCTCTACCCTCTAATCCCTCTGCTGGATAGGTGTCTTGTTTATATGCCAGATTTTTTTTATTTCATAAAAATTATTTAATCATATTATGAATTTCATACATTTTTTTTCATTGATTTATTTTTTGAATCTTTCTAAATAGAAATTGACAATAATTTTCAAATCTGAAAAAATTTATGTTATTGAGCTAGGGTATTCATATTTATCAATGATTTTCTTTCAAGACGATTTAGGTATTTAGTACATAATAATAAAATTTCTATATATTAAAGTTTTGCATTATAGAAACCAAAATTAATTGAAATTATAATTTAATGAAATTGCTTTAATTATTTATTAAACTATTTGTTTATTTATAGCTGTCCCAGTTCTTAAAATTTTCTGCTACCGAATTTCTACAATGGTGTTACCTTTTTTTTATTTTTTCTCTGGTAACACTAAAACCAAACAAAAAGAGACTGTAATATAATTTCGTGCATGAGAACAAAATTAAGAGGGAATGTACGATGTACGAAGCGGAGAGCAAAACGAATGGTTCAATTATTTGTAAAATACGAAACAAAACCATTTATAAATTAATTTTATATATTTTTTATTTGATATTAATTACATGAAAGTTTGTTTGTCAAAAACCATAATGCAACTGTTACCGATAGGGAGAGTCTTCATTGCCTACACGTCTAAAAAAAACACACGGCATGTAAAAACAAACTCTCTTGTGGATTCCAGACAGTTTTTGTTTGTATGCGCGATTGCTCTATTTTTTAAGCTTATATGTGTAGTTATATTTAACAAAGCCATATAGCGAGCTAGTCGTCCTGTTTTTAAGCGCACATACGTACAAAAAATTAGTTTTTTTTTTTATTTTGTTATTATGTAGTAAATACATTTGTATAAATGTGGTGAACGCAAATAACTTAAAACGGAAGTAAGCTTCGAGTTGTTTAAATGCAATATTTTAAGTTTATTGTTTTATGACAATTACAAGATTTATAATATAAGGGAAGCTATGAGTAGAGTGAGCGGGAAGCAGTTTTGTGGTTCAGTTTAATTTTTATAGTAGACTACATTTATACTGAATTTATTACTGTGTAAATAATTTAATATTGCTAGAAAGAATTCAACAAAAATAATATGTATGCAAATTATAAATGTTCGTTATATGGATATAAACATTTTTGAATTCAAATGTTATATTAAATTGATTCTGACTTAGAAGTAAAAATTAAGAATTAAATTAATTTGCTTAGTTTTGTTTAAGCTTTAGGATTAAGATCCAAGACATTTTAAATTCAATGAATTAATCTTTAAATTCTTTGGTTCTACACTTTGAGTTCGAGTAATTGAGGCATTTAAATAATATTTATTTATTTATTTATTATTTTTGGTTAAAAATTTTCAAAGTTATTTATTTATTTTTAAAACATCTTATAAAATTTTCACAATGGTAATTTTTGACTAATTTACCCTACTCTAAATTCTAGTAAATACCAACCTTCGCTGCCATACCGACATCATTTACTATTTCCCACAATTTATCATAAATTTACTCATACTCGCACACGGCCATAATAATTCATAACTTTAGCTATAAAAAAATTATTTTATTTATTATTAATAAATTATATCTACAAGAAATTTATACAGGAAGTGCAAAATCCTGGGTCTCGTATGCAAGATCAAAAAAATTGTAAGTGTCAGACGGGTTTCATATCTGGAGTTCAAATTGTTACTAGTTATTAATATATACATGCAAGTAACATTGCCAAGATTCTGCTTTGATTAGTTCGGCTCGACTAAAACGCTATCAACATATGGTTTCATAATAAATTTCTGATATACGGGAGGAACCTATTTTTTAGGGTATATTCTAGGATATTTAACAAAAAAAAAAAACCAATAGCAAAAAAGCGATGCTTTAAGTTACAAGTTTTGAACAAAGGTACGCTTCTTGGGAGTTTTAAACACCATAAACAGAGGCTCGACTCAGCAAGCAATCGTAAAATTTTTTATTCTAGAAAAACGGTGAGGTCTTTTTTGTAATACCTTTACAGAAAAGCTAAGATTATTTCTTCGCAATTGCTTTAATAAGTTTTCTTTTAAAGCACACATAATTTACTTATATGTGATTGCTTTTTTAATTGTTAATATAAATGAAAAGTTTTGATTGTAAAAGTTTACCATATTATATAGACGTTCATAAATAAGAACTCTTAGAAATTAGAACATCCAGTAATTAGAATCCGAACTTCTGTTTTTAATTTTAATAAAGTTTTTATACTTTTTGCATATATGTTAGTGATAAACTTAACAACACGAAAACGGGGAATCACCATATTTGTTATTTCTTCTTATACGACTGTTGAAACCATTAATAACTTAACAAAATGACACAAAATAACTCTGTTATTTTGCGTACCTTCTAGCAGATGAACAATCTTTCAAAGCTAGATATGTTTATCGATATTTTAAAAATTTATCCAAAACAACAAACATCAATAATTACTATATGCAAAACATAGGTTAAGTGTAATTACAGTGGCTCACAGCTTATTTGATGCAAGCAAAAATTTTTTGAAAAATGTTGTTTATTTCAAAATATTTTGCAAAATTAAAAAAACAAAGTATGCAGAGTTATTGTTTATAGTGTGTTTATTCATTTTAAGAAAAAAAAAATCCAAAAATCTTCTTCCATTCCTTAGTAATGCATCAAAAACATGAAAAATGATGCAGTTAAGAATACCGTTGTTTTTGTCGCCAAATTACACAGAAATTAAAATATTTTTATTCTGCGATCATTTGTAATCTAGTTTTTGAGCGAAAATATTATAAAAATTAAAGTGAGTGCATTTTGTTAACCATGGGACGGCGCACATCAATTGAAAAGCGTGAGTTAGTGTTGGAGTACTTTAAAAAGGGAATTCCCCAGCAAAAATTGGTGAAATGGTAAATATAAGCTCTTCAACAGTTCAACACATAATTGAACGCTTCGTACATGAAAATCGCATAGAAAATAAGAGACGAAAGGCTCCCAATAAAATTTTTACAGAAAAAGAATCGAGGTATTTGGTAAACCAAATTCGAAAAAATCCAACAATTAGCGCTCCAAAGTTGACAAACATGGCCAAAATAGATTTTGGAAAAATTTGTCATCCTGAAACCTTCCGCAGAATATTGAGAGAAGCAAATTTCAATGGAAGAATAGCTGTAAAGAAACCTTTCGTAAGTGCAAAAAATAGAATTAAAAGGTTGCAGTTTGCACGAGAGCATTTAAATAAGAGTCCAGCACTTTGGCGAAATGTGCTTTTTGCAGACGAAGTCAAAATAAACTTATTTGGATCAGATGGAAGATCTTATGTATGGCGTGGAGTCAATTCTGAGCTCAAACCACAAAATGTACGTGCTATCGTAAAACACGGAGGTGGTAATGTTATGGTTTGGGTATGTATGTCATCAAATGGAGTATAAAATTTGGTCTTCATCGAAGAATCTATGAATAAAAATATTTACTTAAA